CAACAAAAACTTTATCATCTGGTGAATTTGTAATCAGATGAAAAGAAAGAAACTTGGCCAAGTCCGCTTTGTTTTCYGGMAAGGCGAGGAAGTTTGGCCARCTTTGAGGGAGAGGAACTGTACCACTTTCGATGACACGTCGGATAGGTCTAGTGGTTCTAGTACGTCGTTCTCTTGTGSCAGATTTGATAGAGCTCTGTAAATATCTGTCAAAAACAACGTGAATTTGTTGGTAATGGGAGCCTGCCTTCACCACAGCAGCCTGGTAATGATCTGCGTAATCTTCAAACGTTTTGGCACCATTAGGTCTGYCAAGGGCTGCGAMTAATGCCATACCATCGATCAATAAGCAAMAATTTCYGTCTGATAAATCAATAGAATTACATTCTGCTTCCTTTGAAAGGATATCAGCTAACACAGACTTTTGTCCGGTTCTGAGACTGCCATTCATCTCTGCTATGGAAAGTGGTACGGGCATAAGTTCGTACGAAAGAATGTCVTGCAGGTCAACCGTGCGCCCAGATTCATATGCAACAATCAATCGCTGAAGAACGGATCGGTCAGCTCTTAAGATAGTGTTTTTCTCTTTCTCTTTACTTGGTTTTACTACTTGGTATAAGGTATCAAACGTAGGAGCGTTGTGCTTATGCATTGTGTCTGTGAACGGTGTCGTAGGTTTCGTTGGTACTTCTTGGCCAGGTTCTTGAGCTGGGAGTATGAGTCTTTGCTCAATGAACTCATTGACATGTTGCTGTCCAAGATCTTTAGCACTTAACAGTGATACTTGAATGCTGTCTGTTGCGAGATCCTTTGTTGCGATGTTATAGAGACAATCTGGATGGACTGTTGGTGAAAATACGTTGTACTGTTTAAGAACAGCGCATAGTTGATCTTCATCCTTGTTATTCCGAATCGCCCTTCCTGGCGCTGATTCTCTTTCTAAGAAAACATCCTCTTGGACTAGGCCAAACATGGCGTGCGTCTGATCAGMAATCTCAGACCTTAGGTTGTAAGACAGAGCCCACCTGGCAAACAAGAGATAGTTAAAAAAAAGAAAAGCATGAACTTCGGCGATGTCTTTCTTTTATCACGGTAAATAATTGATGCATGAATAGTACATGTATGCCGTTACATGGTAAGACACTATTAAGTAAACAGAAAACGTGCGCTATTGGGAAAATGCAAGTATGGATGCTATAGAACATTCCCCTGAGTCAATCAGAATTTGTGTATACTCGCTATTTACATATATGTTGTAGAGCACTGCGTACTGCATACTATTATTACTATTAACAGTAGAAAAAATAAAAAACATTCACTAAAGCGTACCTGCTCAATGCCGTTGATGTCTTGGTTATTCCAACAATACCACCTCCACGTTTACCGATACCRTTGAGCCACTCAAGACTGTGATCAGGACTCACTTCATTGAATTTTCCTTCGCTCCATTTTACGACAAAGTTACCTTTCTTGAACTCGTCTAGAATTTCGCGAGGCAGCTGTTCCATCTCTGCAATAAAGACGGACCCCCACTTTGCGTAATTGAGATGATCATACCTGATATTTAAAAAAAGTTGTGTTATGGTACTGACGATGAAAAAAATCGGATAAATAGTTTTTAAAATTACAATTCTGGTATATCTGAAGAAATAGGGTAGCATGCAGCGAAAACTGTGTAAATACAGATCCCAATTTCCCTCTCTTTGTGCGCGAGTAAATCTAAGCAGAACAGAGACCATTTCCATGTAGTTCCACCAGAACTTGAAGTTGACATTTTCCTCAGATTTTGTCGTTACAAATTCTTTGACCATCTCTCGGAAGCCTGCTGACCTTATCAACGTAATCAGTGCGTCAACGTGCTGCGTCGATGCAAGAAGATCATTAAGCTGCTTGGAAGATTCCAAATTTGACTTCTCGTACATACGAAGTAGTAATGGGATTAGTAATTGCCATAGTGCCTGGACTGTTATCTTGTGAGCTCGCATTGCCCTCTTGTATGCYTTGCCGTTCAACACACTTTCAGTAGCGTTTGGTCCAAGGAGAGCACTTTCCACCCATGCTTCAGCTAAACCTGATCCATTCATGTGGTTGCCTATCGTTTTGAGAAAACACATAGATATGTGGAGACCTCGCAGTTGAATTACAAGTTTTTCCTG